AAAAATGAATCAGAGACATACTAAGAAATTGGTATCAGATAATTAGTGGCGAAGCAAAATAAAATTGAAAACTTCTGTCCTCATTTTGAAAAAAAATGTGACAGTTCCTGTAGAAGTCAAATCTGAGAAAGGGAATCCTTTTATCCCATTTTGAACTACAGAACCATTGCAACAAATGCAGAAGTGCACAGGACTAAATATTTATAGGCTTATCAAGAATTTTCAAAACAGCGATAATTCTGAAATAAAATTAAACCCTTGGCTTCATGGTTGAAATAAATTCTAGCCAGCCACTATTAGAATGCGTACGCTCTCCTTCAACAGTTCTTATTCTTCTGAAGAGCCAGACACTAACCAGAAGTTAAAAACACTTTTAAATTATCAGAAGTTAGGTAACAGAACAAGGTTAACCTTTAATCAGATCCAAAGTCGGATTTTGTTGGTCTTTATGACATTAATGACACTGCTCCAAGTGGGCTGCTCACTTGTTCTCATATTACATCTTGTATTCCTTGTAAATTGCTGATTTTTCTAAAAGTAAATAGCCAAAACCTATGTCAACAAACAGGCAGTTGTTAGGATTTGCACTTGTTTGTATGCTTTAAGACAACCTACTGAGCTTAAGAAAACTGAAACATTCTGCAGCTGGTTGAAGGAAGCAAGTTTTTGAAAACAAAGTAAGATTATCTTTCAGCATCACTTCAGGCATCAGGATAGGCCCAGCATGAGGAGTCTTCAAACACTGAGGCATCTTAGAAAACTGTGCTTTTGCCCACCAACTTAACTTGATTATAATCCAGGTGTAATAAAAGCTCATTAAATTGACATGTATATTCGAAGAAAAAGCCTGAGGGTCCAAGTATTTTCCCAGTACTGCAGTGCATTTGGAAATAATTTAAAAACAAGAATCTGTATTTAGAAAAATGTGCAGAGAATACAAGCCCTACCCCCGAGTATGCTGCAAGGCCTACTATACTGTCAGGTTTTGTAACCATGGTTTTCTCTCTGACAGCAAAGGAAGACCATCAGTTTAAACTATGAACGCCGTTAACAGTTTTTAAAATCCAAATACTTACACACCTTATGGCGGTTTTTAAGAGTTTACAGTAAATTTTCTCAGGATGCGTGCCCCACCCTCCCATACACACAACTTCCACACCGCAAGAAAGGCGGACCTGCGCAACTCAAATTAACAGCGAGGTTTACAAGCACGGGAATCTCCCGCTGACTGAGCAATTCCAAGTTTCCTCACAGACTTCGTTCACGACTGCGGGCTTGGGCGGGAGCGACGGGGGAAGAGACACTTAGTGGGAAGGGACAGGCCCCCTCCACCACCACCTGGCTGAGGCAGGGCTGCCGCGGGGGACAACCCGGGCGGCTCCGGAGCCCCGCTCCAAGGCAAGGCGCTCCGCCAAGCTCACCCACACGGCGAGGCCTATCTGACACCCACCGGGCCCGCTCGCCGACACGGGCTTT